ATGAGACGAACACAGTGGTGGCAGAAATTTTTAGATCGGACGATAAACAAAGATTCTACAGGGTACGGGGACTAAAATTAACGTTTAAAGTGACCTTGACCTTGACCTACGACCTTGACCTCGGATTTTTTCAAATGTGCTACTGCTTCTCGATGAGACGAACACAGTGATGGCCGAAATTTTTAAATCGAACCATAAACAAAGATTCTACAGGGTACCGGGACTAAAATTAACGTTTAAAGTGACCTTGACCTTGACCTATGACCTTGACCTCGGATTTTTTCAAATGTGCTACTGCTTCTCGATGAGACGAACACAGTGGTGGCCGAAATTTTCAAATCGGACCATAAACAAAGATTCTACAGGGTACGGGGACTAAAATTAACGTTTAAAGTGACCTTGACCTTGACCTATGACCTTGACCTCGGATTTTTTCGAATGTGCTACTGCTTCTCGATGAGACGAACACAGTGGTGGCCGAAATTTTCAAATCGGACCATAAACAAAGATTCTACAGGGTACGGGGACTAAAATTAACGTTTAAAGTGACCTTGACCTTGACCTATGACGTTGACCTCGGATTTTTTCAAATATGCTACTGCTTCTCGATGAGACGAACACAGTGGTGGCCGAAATTTTTAAATCAGACCATAAACAAAGATTCTACAGGGTACGGGGACTAAAATTAACGTTTAAAGTGACCTTGACCTTGACCTATGACCTTGACCTCGGATTTTTTCAGTTGTGCTACTGTTTCTCAATGAGACGAACACAGTGGTGGCCGAAATTTTCAAATCGGACGATAAACAAAGATTCTACAGGGTACGGGGACTAAAATTAACGTTTAAAGTGACCTTGACCTTGACCTATGACCTTGACCTCGGATTTTTTCGAATGTGCTACTGCTTCTCGATGAGACGAACACAGTGGTGGCCGAAATTTTCAGATCGGACGATAAACAAAGATTCTACAGGGTACGGGGACTAAAATTAACGTTTAAAGTGACCTTGACCTTGACCTATGACCTTGACCTCGGATTATTTCGAATGTGCTACTGCTTCTCGATGAGACGAACACAGTGGTGGCCGAAATTTTTAAATCGGACCATAAACAAAGATTCTACAGGGTACGGGGACTAAAATTAACGTTTAAAGTGACCTTGACCTTGACCTATGACCTTGACCTCGGATTTTTTCAAATGTGCTACTGCTTGCCGATGAGACGAACACAGTGGTGGCCGAAATTTTCAAATCGGACGATAAACAAAGATTCTACAGGGTACGGGGACTAAAATTAACGTTTAAAGTGACCTTGACCTTGACTCATGACCTTGACCTCGGATTTTTTCGAATGTGCTACTGCTTCTCGATGAGACTAACACAGTGGTGGCCGAAATTTTTAAATCGGACCATAAACAAAGATTCTACAGGGTACGGGGACTAAAATTAACGTTTAAAGTGACCTTGACCTTGACCTATGACCTTGACCTCGGATTTTTTTTCAAATGTGCTACTGCTTCTCGATGAGACGAACACAGTGGTGGCCGAAATTTTCAAATCGGACCATAAACAAAGATTCTACAGGGTACGGGGACTACAATTAACGTTTAAAGTGACCTTGACCTTGACCTATGACCTTGACCTCGGATTTTTTCGAATGTGCTACTGCTTCTCGATGAGACGAACACAGTGGTGGCCGAAATTTTCAAATCGGACGATAAACAAAGATTCTACAGGGTACGGGGTCTAAAATTAACGTTTAAAGTGACCTTGACCTTGACCTATGACCTTGACCTCGGATTTTTTTCGAATGTGCTACTGCTTGTCGATGAGACGAACACAGTGGTGGCCGAAATTTTCAGATCGGACGATAAACAAAGATTCTACAGGGTACGGGGACTAAAATTAACGTTTAAAGTGACCTTGACCTTGACCTATGACCTTGACCTCGGATTTTTTCAAATGTGCTACTGCTTCTCGATGAGACGAACACAGTGGTGACCGAAATTTTTAAATCGGACCATAAACAAAGATTCTACAGGGTACGGGGACTAAAATTAACGTTTAAAGTGACCTTGACCTTGACCTATGACCTTGACCTCGGATTTTTTCAAATGTGCTACTGCTTCTCGATGAGACGAACACAGTGGTGGCCGAAATTTTCAAATCGGACTATAAACAAAGATTCTACAGGGTACGGGGATTAAAATTAACGTTTAATGTGACCTTGACCTTGACCTATGACCTTGACCTCGGATTTTTTCAAATTTGCTACTGCTTCTCGATGAGACGAACACAGTGGTGGCCGAAATTTTCAAATCGGACCATAAACAAAGATTCTACAGGGTACGCGGACTAAAATTAACGATTAAAGTGACCTTGACCTTGACCTATGACCTTGACCTCGGATTTTTTCGAATGTGCTACTGCTTCTCGATGAGACGAACACAGTGGTGACCGAAATTTTCAGATCGGACGATAAACAAAGATTCTACAGGGTACGGGGACTAAAATTAACGTTTAAAGTGACCTTGACCTTGACCTATGACCTTGACCTCGGATTTTTTCGAATGTGCTACTGCTTCTCGATGCGACGAACACAGTGGTGGCCGAATTTTTCCGATAGCTCCGAAAATGAAGATTTTATAGGGTACGGCGATTTTTAAAGTGACCTTGACCTTGACCTATGACCTTGACCTCGGATTTTTTTGAATGTGCTACTGCTTCTCGATGAGACGAACACACTGGTGGTCGAATTTTTCAAATCGGACCATAAACAAAGATTCTACAGGGTACGCAGTATTTTGACCTCTCAAGGTCAAACGGTTTGACCTAGGAAAAAAAGGTCACCATTTTCGAACTCAGCGTGCCATGGGCTATCTGTATGCCAATTTTGAGCGAAATCATTACTCGAATTTGAATCCGAATACGAATACGACGCTAACTTTATGGACATCATTCTGCTACGATATGCTGCGAAAAATTTGCCCCTGGCACTTCCCATTTGTTCAGGAATGGGGTTGTTTTGAAAAGGAAAATGGTGCTTGGGAGGTCGGCGCCAGTCATTCATGAAGGAGTTAGCGCCATGAGAAGACCTACAAAATACTCACGGATGGTGTCGATGCAAGCTATCGGCTTTCAGGGAGAAGCGGATGTTGCCGGGGAGCTCGTCAAACCTAAATCCGACGCAGAAACTGCGGGGGATTCCCCTACAAGAGCTTGAAAGCATCGCAAGAGCATACAAGAGCAAGAGAGCATCGCCCTCTGGGCGATGGTCGACCTCTCAAAGTGCTTTGACATGGTGCCGCATGACAGGCTGATCGACAAACTACTTCTATATCTTTTTGGTTCACGGACTATTTAAACGGTCACACACAGCACGTGCAGACGGTGAATCATGAAGGACACGGGATCAAATCAGCCGTGAAACAGAATGCAGTCGGTGTGTACCAGGGAGGTTCGTTAAGTTGTATACTGTGGTGTGTGTTTTCCAACGACCTCTGTCTGCATGTGCCACCGCCTGTAAAGGTAGTGCAGTTCGCAGACGACACCCAGATCTGGATCACGGGCAAGAAACAAGACTTGCCTCAGCTGGTGACACAACTCGAGACCGCTCTCCAGAGTATGTTCGACTGGTTTTGTAGCAACAACATGAAAGTGAATGAGGCAAAAACTGAGCTCATGTTATTCGGAACAAGGCAAATGCTGAGAGATATCGCGGAGGTGACCGTTAAATTTAATGGTGCCACCATTAGATCTATGAACCAGGCCCGCAACCTAGGAGTGATATTTGACCAACACCTCGACTTTCGTCTGCATGTAGACCAGCTTGTACCGAAGTGCACCGGCATGTTACTCGCTTTGAACCATGCAAAACACGTGATTCCAATGGCCACTGTAAAATATCTCATTACCGCGCTAGTTTTTCCCGTGATGCGATACTGCATGTCTGTATACGGCATTTGTAACAAAACGCAGGTCCACCGAATTCAAAAGTTGATTAACTTCGCTGCGCGTGTTGTGTCTGGACGTCGGAAGACCGACCATATTTCTGACGTGGTTCGATCGCTGGGTTGGTTCAAAGCAGACGAGCTCATTTCCTATCATCGAGTTCTTGTCATTCACCGACTCATGTCATGCCTCGTTCCGCCGCCATTAGCGCAGACTATCGGTGCTCCTGCTCGCCGCCAGCACGATCACGACACACGGTCTGCTGACCTCCTGACTGTGCCACGTATTCGTACCGAGACTGGTCGCAAGCGCTTGTGTTTCAGCGGTGTGAAATTGTACAATGAGGTACCGAAGCCTGCAGGAACCTCATTCAAGACTGCTGCGAAGCGCCACCTGCGTGCCGTCGAAACGTGACGAGAGCTGGAGCCATGAGGTTTGTTGGCGAGTGCTGTGATTATCTGTGCGCCCTATATGGATAATGGGTATACTGTCACCTGCCTTACGTTTTTGTTTGTGTATCTGTGCTTTGGATGGATGCTACTGTATGTTTACCTTTTTATCACTGTTTTATTTTTACTACGTACGATGGCGAAAAGCCACCAGTTTGCGTGGATCTATCGTGAATACACATTGAATTGAATTGAATTGAAAGCTGGTAACCTGTTATCAGCCTCCGGCAGCTGACGGAGTGACGAAAATCGGTATGGGCAAATATTTTTGGAGATACAGCAAAGGGTTTGGTTTCCAACCTTCCGAATCAGTTGTCAAAGCATGCATATTTGTCTAGTGTACACACGGACACCAAAACCTTAGATTTTTGGCCGGTTCTTATATGCTTTATTGACATTGGAAATGTGTAAACGAACTTTTGAGACACCCTGTACGCCGTATAGGTCATTATACGTATAGGTCATTATTTCTTCGTCGAATACCAAAGCTTATTTTTTGTTGATGCTTTAATGGGGCGATTGATCACAGATCGAAATAAATATTTTTCTACAAATTTTGACAGCTTTTTAAGATGCACCAGTATCAGCTGATCGATTGTTGTGACTGTGTTTTACTACAAATCTGGCGCACAACAAACCACTTGCAGGCAGCCTGCCCGCTGTATTGCTCTGTGTGGGATTTGTGCTGGATGGAGGATTTTGAGTAGACTTTGGACTCGTATTAGTATTTAGTTAATTTTAATTACAGGACATTTGTTGGAGAAAGAGTTATTTGCTCCAGGGATTTGAAAAGTCTTCTTATCTGTATCCTTCACTGTCACGTCTTCTTTATTTCGTATTGTTTGTTCAGTTATTGTTCGAACTCGCACGAGCTTTGTACTTACGAAGCTGAGGAGTCAACCGCTTTTTTGTAAGCTACATTTGTTTCTCAGCAAACATGGTAAGAAGAATTATTATCTCATCTATTTTGGGCCATATGTCTCTGACTTGCCTTCTTTCTAGCCTGCTTGTGATTGAATGCAAGTCTGCGGATAACTCCCATGTCAATGTATCATGTCAATAATGGTATGTTTATCTGAGGATCTCAATATTGGATGTCTAAAAGTAATTTGAATTAAAGCATCTGTATGAGCTGTCTATCTGTGGAATTACTGCAAACTACATCATTTATTATTGTTTCAAAGTTGTATTTAATCAAATAAATTTAATTGATTTGAATCATTCAATTAAAAAAAAAAGCTGTAGGTACGTACCTACTTTGACTACCATTGATGTTCCACCACTCCCAACCCATCGGTCTCCCATGGCTCAGCACTGGCTGCTGCCAGTGTTGCCTGCCCTCAGCACTGCTCAGCACTGCCTGCCAGTGCCAGTGCTGCCAGTGTTGCCACTAGCATCCCAGCATCTTCCTGGGATGCCAGGCTTACTTATACCTTTATTTGTTGGAGGTCAGAAATATTCAATTTTCTCCTTTTGCCATTATTAAAGCTGCCTGAGCAATGAGATTTGTCATTTGTGGAACAAATTATTGCCTGACCATTGTTTTATTTTTCTAATTAGCAACATGTCTGATTCAGATTGTGGTTCTGCTGGACATAGTAATTTGGAGATCAATGGCCATATTGGACAGTTATGCTTATTTATCTGAACATGTTCTGTTCATTGTCTGCAGTTTGGCTACCCCATGTTTCCGGATGCACTGCGCCCATTCAACACCCAGTATCGCTGCTACTCTGTGTCCATGCTACCTGGCCAGGAGCGCACAGATGTTGAAAAGGGTGGCAAAAGTGAGTGTCTTCTGCTTAAATGTAAAGGCAGCAGATAGTGGTTCTGTGAGTGTGCCAGAAGAGAATTTATCCTGTTGATAAGGTTGCTTGAAAATGTGTGCAAACAGTCTTCACAATGTTCCATGTGAGTCTATACTTTTCACAAGCGTATATCTCTTTACACCATCAGGGTGTTTAATTTGTATATCAGCATTGCTTTCATTTTTATCCTGTTCTCACTTCTCACCATAGTTCTCACACCCCAGGCTATCATGGAACTGTATCACAACTCACTGGTCACTGCTCACATGTTCTCATGCTCCTGCTACAGTCATTATGCCTCCGTCGGCGCTGGACCAGCTGACGCGGCTCAACGTGGTCTACCCGATGCTGTTCAAGCTGACGAACCGGCGCGCCGACCGCGTGACACACTGCGGCGTGCTCGAGTTTGTCGCCGACGAGGGCAAGGTCTATCTGCCCTACTGGGTGCGTACCGCGCGGAGGACTGTCCGCGGCGGGACGCCGGGGACCCGTTCAGACCCGTCAATGATTGGTGCGAACCAGATGAGGACCAAACAGCCGCTCTGGTCCGTTTGTGCCGGTCCGATGATGGTTTGGGTAGATTGGCTGCATGCTCTCATTATTGTGATCTATGGTTGTTTGTTATCTATGTGCTCGAACTTCATGCATTGTTATAGGTATCTGTATACAATCCGCTCAGCAATGCTGTAAACCAAATTATTGCTATTTTTAGTATGTCTTTTTCATGAGTTCGCCTAAAAAAACACACACAACAACGTGAATGATATCTACTGCTTCCCCTCCTACCGACGGTGTCTGCCCGTCTGACGGGGCGCTGCACGTGCTGCAGATGATGCGGAACCTGCTGCTGGAGGAGGGCGCGCTGCTGACGGTGGAGAGCGTCTCGCTGCCGGTGGCCACCTTCTCCAAGTTCCAGCCGCAGTCACCCGACTTCCTGGACATCACCAACCCGAAGGCGGTGCTGGAGAACGCGCTGCGCAACTTCGCCTGTCTCACCACCGGGGACGTGATCGCCATCCCGTACAACACAAAGGTGTACGAGTTCTGCGTCCAGGAGACCAAGCCCGGCCGCGCCGTCAGCATCATCGAGTGCGACATGAACGTGAGTCGACTAGACAGCTCCCGGCGCGCCGTGCAGGTGGACGCAGCTGTGGACTCTCAGGGGCTGAGCGGCTCGGCGGCTGCCAGCCGGCCGGCTGTCTGGATATGACGGCGGGAGCCGGTGGCGCCTGCCGGGAACGCCTCTGTTTTCCCGGAGGGGAACCCATTTGCCATCTTTGGTCAGTGGATTCCAGGGGTCGCTGTGTCGTGATGTGTGGCACCTCTGGGCCGCCGTTTATTTGGTTGGCCGTTTACCTCTGACCGCTGTTTTGTGGTGTGTCCTGTGTACTGTATAGCGACTCTGCCGACGCCGGTCGGCTAACAGGGGGTATGTGACGCCTCTGGCCGCTGTTTCGATGGGGTGTGGCGCCTCTGTCCGCTGTGTCGATGTTGTGTGACGCCTCTGTCCGCTGTATCGATGTTGTGTGACGCCTCTGTCCGCTGTGTCGGTGTTGTGTGACGCCTCTGTCCGCTTTGTCGGTGTTGTGTGTCGCCTCTGGCCGCTGTGTCGGTTTTGTGTGACGCCTCTGGCCGCTGAATCGGTGTTGTGTGACGCCTCTGTCCGCTGTGTCGATGGTGTGTGACGCCTCTGGCCGCTGTGTGACGTCTCTGTCCGCTGTGTCGATGTTGTGTGACGCCTCTGTCCGCTGCCGCCAGGTGGAGTTTGCGGCGCCGGTCGGCTACCAGGAGCCGGAGCGGCCGCCCGCCGCCGAGGAGGAGCAGCCGCCCGAGGAGCATCACTTGCCGGAGCCGACCGGATTCGTGCCGTTCCAGGGCTCCGGACTGCGGTGAGACGCAGCACGGGGCGAGCAGCTCGAACTGCGTCAATGAGCAAGGATGTCGACTGTTCATAAACAACAGCCCACAGATCTGGCACTGGCTCGTGGTTTTGATGTTTGATGTGAATAACGTAATTAATTTAAATTTAGATTTTGTGAATTGTAGGCGTTCTTTCGCTTGCCGGCTACTGTCGTTGACCTGCCGTTGTTGTCCCTGACTCACCCTGGCGGCGCCTTGCAGGTTGGACGGCAAACAGAAAAACCTGGACGCCCCTCGGGCGAGCACCTCCAACGGACCGCGCGTGCGGGGTATCCCCGACTACGACTACGAGGTCGGCTATCTGCGCTTCCTGCGAAACGCAGCGCCGAAGCCCGCAGAGGTGGGTACCCGGCGCTCGGTCTACTGAGCCAGTAGGGCGAGCGTTTTATTGCTTTACATTATGTCTTCTACTTTTGCGGCTGTAGTCAGTCGGTAACGTTTCTTTATAGCTCTTCTCAGTCGTGTCAGTCTCTTTATGCTCCTACTGCTTCAAACCCTCCAGTCACCTAATTTGTCCACCTCAGACAGTATTAGCTCAGTTACAGTGAGGTGTTTGTACCAGTCTCGCGTTCAATGCTGAAATATGTACACCCCTGTCCCTAGTTACATAACGGTCTTCCTTAGGCTTCTTACTCTAATGTTCTTTAATGTAATGTTCTACCCTGCCCAGCGTTCGCACTGCGGCCGTCCCAGTCTCGCCTTTCGTGTGTTGTTCCTTGTTCGTCTCTGCTGGCTCCCACACCGGTTCGGCCTCGGTTCTGCGACTGACGCTGTGTATGACGTGTGTTCCAGGCGGCCTCGGATGAGCCCGTGTTCAGCTCCTTCTCCGGTGAGGGCCGGAAGTTGCGGCAGCCCAAGCACCGGCGGCCGTGAGCCGTCCCCCCCCCCGCCCCCGCCGCCGCCGGTGCGCTCAGACTGTGACCCGCCCCGCCCCGCCGCACCGACGGCGCGCGCCCTGTACAGAGTCGCTCCAGTTTGTATATTTATTCCGGCACGCGTGTCGGAACCACCCTGAATAAATATATTACGCCTGTTGCGCTGTTTGCCCGGTATACAGGCGCTGCAGCACGCGGCGCCCGATAGCTGCGATCCAGGGACTAGCAGTGGGACAAAGGACTCGGCGGCGGCGCGGGAATGAAGATCGGCCCGCGGCGCACTCCACGGGCCATATCACATCGCTCAGTCATTCTCGATCTGCTGTAAAGCTCGATACAACCTGCGGAATAAGGTAAAGCCCGCCTGAACACTGACAGTTTACCCACAAACGATTAGTACATCACGATGACTATCCGAGGACCCACAGCGGTAACATACAACTAAAGCTGCTCGGTCCCCGTGAGTCACATAAATCACGTCCTACATATCGGGCGGCACGTCCGAGACTGCGGGGAATCTCCCGGCAATAAGACAGCAGGAATATCGAGTCAATCCCACTGCGCCACGGAACACGATCTGAACAGCTGTGCTCACTCACCCAGCGATCGGGCCCGGCCGGGGGTGCTTAATGCACAATGCGTCCCGGCCCGGTCGATCTAGCCAGGAGGTGTCTACTGCAGCAGCAGTTCGTCCCGGTTTAATTATTCATGGTTCGGCTAGCAGATGTCCGACTGTAAGTTCGACAGTTAGACTGTACAGTTCATCCCAGACAGGGGCAGCTGTGAGACTGCACAGTCCGTCCCGGCCAGGAGGAGTCTACTGCACAATGAGTCCCGGCAGTGTGGCTGGCGACGCTCGGCTGTCGTTCACTCGGCTCCGGCCGGCGCCTCGCTGCTGAAGTAGGGGGCCGAGTCTCTGTTGAGCAGCGTGTGGCACACCTCACAGACGCGCGCCATGGTGCCGCTCGGGCCGCTCGGCACGGTGCGGTTCACGCAGTCGGCGCAGTAGATCTTACCGCAGTGTCGGCAGTGGTGCTGAAGGGGACAGAGGCAGGTAGGGTCAGCCGACCACCGAGATATACCGAACTGGATGGCCTGGCTATCACAGTAGCTAACACAAGCGAAAGTTCTAAACGGGACCGGTCGGTCATGCATTCAGACATTCAAATACGAGCTTTGGATATGGTAAAAACGGTGGTCTTGTGTGAATGCGCCCTCAGGGACCAGTGAGCACTGAGCAGTAGGTAATGCTGGCCGTTTAGTCGAACAATCACACACTCCAAGGGAGGGGGGGGGGGGGGGGTAAGACATTCCGTGACGGTCAGCCACGTACCTTGCGTTTGCTGAGGGAGAATCCGACGTGACAGCGACTACAGGCATCCACGTCATCCTCATGCTGCCAGCGAACCTCCGTGTCTGACTGCCTGATCCGCTCCAGCTCCATCTGTTAACACAAACACAGACATACAGACACTGCCAGCGAACCTCCGTGTCCGACTGTCTGATCCGCTCCAGCTCCATCTGTACACACAGACACACGGACATACAGACACTGACAGCGAACCTCCGTGTCTGACTGTCTGATCCTCTCCAGCTCCATCTGTACACAGACATACAGACACTGTAAGCGAACCTCTCTGTCCGAATGTCTGATCCTCTCCAGCTCCATCTGTACACAGACATACAGACACTGTAAGCGAACCTCTCTGTCCGAATGTCTGCTCCTCTGCAGCTCCATCTGTACACACAGATACACACTTATCAGACCTTCAAGACTCAGTCCATCTCCATCTAAACACCCTACTTTCAGGATCCCCCACACATGCTCCCGTCCTTTCGTTCCTGACCTGAAGGGACTGGGACAGCTTGACGAAGTCGCGCTGGACAGCCTCAGAGTTGTCCAGGTCGAGCTGCAGCGTGGCCACCTTGGTCTTGAGCCGCGACACCTCCTCTTGCAGCGACGACTGCCGGGAGGCGCAGCGGTCAGACGCCGGCGCACACTGCGCGGGTAGCTCACAAGAGACAGGTATACGTGGAAGGGTTCTACGGTCTGGGGGAGATAATTGGTAGGAGTCACTATTCTGGGCGGCGTTTCACTTGACCACGCTGCTATCGCATTTCGCGAGCTGACGTCACATCTGTGACGTCATTGTGGCAGTGTTTGAGATACGAGTTTGTTGATGTCTCCATGGAAACCCAATTTGACACGTGTGATATCAGCGTACTGCTATCGGCCGTGAAACAGGACCCAGGAAAGAATACAGTGAGGCGTCGATGATATGAAGGTTGAAATATGAGACCCGTGACAGCTAAATGCGAGCTCACAGACCGCTCGTGTACGTGAATTCAAAACGGTGGGTCAGACAGCTAAACATTCGTCCGGCAGCTGTCGCACTAGCTGCACAGCTCCTGATTCGGTCCCACCCTGGTCGCGGCTCGTCTGGTACACCCACCGTGCGCCACCCACCTTGGCGGCGCCCTGCTCCTGGAGCTGGGTCTGCAGGGCGGCCACCATCTGTTTGTTTTTGGCCGTCTGCTGACTGAGCTGGTCACGCAGTGCGCTCAGCTGGCCGTCGGCCTCCTGGCGGCGCGACTGTTCGGCGCGCAGCTCCGTGCTGACACTCTCCATGAGCAGCACCTCCTCACTGGCGGACGGTCGGGAGGGTTACGGAGTCAGATGACAGTCACGGGACAGGACAGGACAGCGGTCAGATGTCTCAGTCCATCAGCAGCACCTCCTCCCCGACGGACGGTCGGGAGGTGTCACATGGCGCAGACCACAGGTCAGAGGTCAGCAGAAGTCACAGTTCAGCAGTCAGTCACCGGTCAGGCACAGCTCGGGACACAGGACCGGACGGATTCACCGCTGAGCCATCGTTCAAAGAACATATGATAGCAAGACCCATGATACCAAAGTATATCAGCATAATCCACGGAATATTACGCGGTGAAATGCAATGACATCTACAAAAGAGCATCCGAGACGAATCTTACCAGGCACTGTATCCAGCCATTTGCAAAGACTACCCGCTAGCCAGGCAACTACTCGCCCCCCATTTCCCCGCTTCCACCGTCTTTCAATTTCCACCCTTCCACCGTCTCTCCCTGCAGTTCTCTATTCTCAACTCCCCGTCCCCCTCCGCACCGTCTCCCCACCGTCGGGCTCACCGGAGTTTGTTGACCTCTGCCACCAGCTCGTCGTTAATGGCGTCCTTCTCGTGTTGTAGCGCCTCTTGTTCGTTCTTCATGAACGCCAGCTGGTTCCGCAGCGTCTCCTCGACGTGCTCACGCGCGATCTTGGCCGAAATCAGGTCCTCCTTGTACTTGAGCAGCATCTCGTGAAGGTCCTGCGGCGGACGGGCGACGGTCAGAGGCCGACTGGCCGACTAGCATCTCTGACCGATTAGAGGTCACCGCTCGGCACATACCACGGTCTACGGTCCCCACTGACCTGTTGGAGGTCGACGATGACTGGTCAAAGGTTACCGCATTGGTCACAAAAGCCCGCACTATACCGCACTGGTTCACTACTCTCACCTACTACATTGAGCCGCTACACTGATCAGCTACATCAGACACTACCTACCCCCGGCTATTCTGATTTGTCCACTGCCGCAGCTCACCTGACCTTCGGGCATCTACACTTATCCACTATGAACTTGCCCCACATGCTTTTCTGATCCGCTACACTGATCCGCTACAGACTGGCCCCGAACTCGGTGCACGGAGTCACGGACTGACCTCGACCCGGTCGGGCAGGTTGATGAACTCGTTCTGCAACTCCCCGGAGCAGGCGCTATACTTGCCCATCAGCGTGTCGTTCTCCGACTGTAACCTGGCGACAGAGGCACAGCGGGTGGAACGGAACGAGTCACCGTCACGGAGGGATACAAGCCGCAATACCGTCACGGAAACATACCGCCATACCGTCACAGCGGACCGTCACGGAACGCTGTACCGTCACGGAAACATACCGCCATACCGTCACAGCGGACCGTCACGGAATCACAACGTTAAACTGTCACAACGGGCCATAAATGGACAACACATTACACAGCTATACCCTCACAGCCGACGGCCGTGACGGAACCGTTTCGCCACACCCTGAACATTAAACAACGCATCGTACTAACCGGGTTCCTGGAACCCATTTAGGGCGACAGAGGGACACAAAAGGTAGCTCCGACAATGCACGCTTGTCAGTACAATGGAAGAATAGCGCACATCCATTTATGTATAGTATTCACAAAGGCACGAATGCAGACCTATTCGTGACGAAGGGGGGCGGGGCGATTCACCGCAGAACTTTGCCCCACGCTTATTACCGGCTTTGTTGACGGACTAGGCATTCATAGCAGGCAGAACCACGGCTAAGGCAACACTGAATGACCCGTATGCTTTGAATGGCTGATGGCTAACAGATCAGTCACGTACCGCCGTAGACGTGTAGCGGTCGCCAGTGGCCCAAACTGACCTGTTCAGTGTTCAGCTCCTGTTGGACGGTACATATTTCGGCCCCTGGACTCAGTGACCTGCACTGACCTGTTGAGCTCCTGCTGGACCAGGTGCCGGTCGGCGGTCAGTCTCCGCAGCTTGTCCTGTATCTCGGAGACAAAGCGCCGGTACCGCTGCTCCAGCTCGTGGTAGCGCTTCTCCCCGGCCTCCACAGTCTTGTGCAGCTCACCGATCTGACAACAGTGGCGTTCGACGGGTGATGATGATGATGAATTGGGTTTTTTGGGCGCCCGGACTACAGTGGTCATCGGCGCCCATGCGTCCGACGGGTTAGATGAAAGATGCAAAAATGGGTGTGTGAGTTGTGTCTCATGTTAGCCAATGACAATATGACACATAACACCAATGCTGATATTCAGTAAAGTGATATCAACACAATAAATTTACACACGGCCCCGCCTTGTGTTTAGGATGCCATCTGACCCGCCGCCCGGCGTTGGCCCACCTGTTTCTGGCTCTGTTCGGCCAGCGTCTGCCACTGCTGCTCGGTCTGTTTGCGGTAGCGGCCCTCTCGGCTCAGGTCCTGCTGGTGGCGCTCCAGGGCGCGGCTGAGCTCGGAGCGTCGCTTCTCGGCGGCCTTCAGCTCGGCCTGCAGCTGCTGCAGCTGCGACTCGGAGCTGGCGCAGCGCTCGCAGCCGCCGCGG